GAAAACAAAAACACAAACCTCAATTTTATGTTACCCAGTATAAGTAAATTTTTTACCCTGAGAAAAGGTGAGTCTGGACTTAACTATGTGAATGAAGACTGGGTCATTCAGAGCTGAAGAGGGAAGAGGATCACTGTTGGTACATCCTCAAACAGGCAGCCGTGGGGTTAGAAGGAAAGATCTTGGCATTTCCATCCACTTTGCACCCAGAGAACTGGAGATTGCTCACACATGCATGCACACACAGGCCATGGTACCACAGTTGTGTTTCTGATTACCCCCAAAGAGGGAAGCGGATGCTCATATACTAAGAATGGTAGCTAGGTGAGATGAAGAAGTTGCTACTATGCTTAATGGTGATGATTACACTACATATTTATCTCTAACCATCATTCTAAATGTATTAAACTTTTACTTGTCAGCCATACTTCAAAAAAATTGGGGAAATAATATGGGTTTATACGTACATATGCAAATGGGCCAGAAATTTCATTTCACTCATGTACTGGGGGTCTTTATAAGGTTTATTTTTCTTTTGTTTTTTTTTGTAATTTGTTTTCTATTTTTTATTTAGAGAGACAAAGAAGAATCTGAAGGTATAGACATGTGGTAAAGAGAGGCTCTCTATGTTTCTGAGGTTTGTAACAGAAATTACATAATGGCAGTTATGTAGTTTCGTTCCGCTTTGCCCTTAGGAAGTGGCCTGAATGAGAAATGCTTAATACTTGGGCAGATCATTAGGTACTCACTTAGTGAAACTGTTTGGGAGGCTAGGAGGTGTGGTTTAGGGCTTTGTTTTGTTTTGTTTTTATACGAAGTACTTAACTGGAGGTTGGAAATTAGGGTTTTAGAGACTCGTGCTAGTCCTGCTTTGTTCTCACCCCTTGTTTATGTGAAGAGCTTCCATTTCTACTACTGCCATGTCTGTCTCCTGCCGCCACTCTTCCTAGCCAAGAGCGACTCAACCCTCTGGAACCATAAGCTCAAATAAGTTCTTTCTTCTAAATATTACCTTGGTCATGGTACTTTATCATAGCAATAAAAAAGTAACTAATATACCCTATGTCCACTTTCCCTCTCCTCTCCTCTCCTGTCCTCCTCTCCCCTGTCCCCTCCCCTCCCCTCCCCTCTCCTCTCTCCTCCCCTCTCCCCTCCCCTCTCCTCTCTCCTCCCCTCTCCTCTGTTCTCCCTCTTCTCTCCCTCCTCTGCCCTCCTCATCCTTCCCTTTCGCTCCTCTCCTCTCACATTCCCTCCTCTCCTTTTCTCTTCCCTCCTTTCCCCTCACCTCTTCTTTTTTCCTTTCCTCTCCTCTCTTCTTTTCTCTTCTCCTTTCTTCTCTTGCCCTTTTCCTTCCCTTCCCCCTTTCTCCTCTTCTTATCATCTTTCTCTCCCTCCCTCATGAGTTCCTTAGGTAACCTGTATTAGGACCATATCACATGTGGGCCGTCTTTAAGCTAAGAAAAACTCTGGCAAACAGAGTGAAGTAAAAAGTAAGAAATGGTGGATGAAGTATTCATAAGTATGACTTCGGATCCTAATCCAGGTTATTATTTTATGTGGATGTTTCTACTGCACCATGCTGTCGTCCTGGAGGAGTCGTTATGAAGTTATTTTGATGATAGTACATTTTAGATAATATGGTTTTGCTTCATATTATAGTGACATCTATTAAGAACAGAAATCCTTTTAGCATGCATATCTGCTACATCACAAACTTAGCCGTCATAATAGCATTAAAGTTTTGTCTATTCTACTGTAGAGGAATAGACATCTAGAGTATTGCCTAAGTTATTGGAGATGATAAATTTTGGTAGAAAACTAAAGAGAAGTAGAAGCTGCTTCCTGATAAATTCTGTCATAATAACTCTTCGGAGGTGCTATGTCACGTTTCTCTCAATACGTGAAACAGTGCTTTGTGTTGTTGTGGTTACTGCGTCAATCTTCCTCAGTGGAGTATAAGCATTGCTCCACCAAAACTCAGCATGACACTTAACTGTATATGTCAATGAAACTGAGCTAGAAGATGCCCAGACATTTGGTTAAACATGGTTTCAAATGTGTCTATGAACAAATTTAGATGATATTAACATTGCATTTGGTAGAATGTGGCCCAAAGTCCATTGATTGGCCTAATGTTAGGGTGGTGGTAGATCTATTCAATTATAGCTTTGAATAAAATAAAAAAATCTGACTTCTGAGAAGGGGCAATTTCCTTCTACCTGATTGTCTTTGAACTGTGGATTCAACTTTCTTCTATACCCAAACATGGATTTGACCCCCAAACTGACTTTTCCATGATTTTGACACTGATGGATTTGAGTTGAAATACATGTACATAGTGGTTCTCAGATCTTTGAACTGGGACTAGTATTATAAAATTGGCTCTCTTAAATATATAATCTCAGTACTTGGGAGGCAGAAGGAGTTGGATTTCTGAGTTCAAGGCCAGCCTGGTCTACAGAGTGTGTTCCAGAACAGCCAGGGCTATACAGAGAAAACCTGTCTCGAAAAAACAACAACAACAAAAAACAAAAATATCTAAGGGTCTCATAACTTAGCTTGCTTAATATTCCAAATAGATTATTTCTAATAAATTTCTTATTGTATTTATATGCATCATATTAGTTCTGTTTGTAGGTAGAAAGTTGAAAAATATATTTAATATGTGTATTTTATTAATAAAATAGTGAATCTCTCCAGACCAGATAAAGACTGCAGATTATTATCCAAAAGTTGACCAAAAGTCAACTCACAAATCTCTAAGAAAATATGAACGTGAGAAATAGAAAGATACCAAAAATTACTCTAGCAAAAACTCGTATGGTATATGTAACATAATTGAGGATATCCATATTTTGAAAATCAAATTTTATCATTAGTCTAGATTGTAGTGATCCTGAAGAGTCTTTGTAGGTTTTTACTCTGGCCTAAATTTTGTCACTGAACTGAAATCATTCTACTGATTTTCTTAAGGATTTGAGACTACATTTTTATGAAAAAATAGCTACAAAAATCTGTATTTCAACTTTTAATAATGAATTGTCATTGTCATGATATGGAGATTAGTTTTAGCAATAGTGTTATGAATTCTAATTAAACTCTTCATCTTTTATTCTGCCTTTATGAAATATATTATTTTATCTAAACACAGTGAAAGAGCCCTCTCATAAGAACGACATTAATAGACTTCTAAATAATACTAATCGACATTTAGTATATTAAGTGTAACAGCAGGTCATGATTTTCGGATTTAGTAGTTTGTTACATGTGTAATGAATGAAGTCTTATATGCACATAGTGTCTGGCATTAAGTAGAAACAGGTCAGAAATATCTAACACCGTTTTGTGCATTTAACTTGCATCAGACCTTCAGATTTGAAGTTCATTTTTATTCATACAGAAGTAAATGGCTGAAACAACTAGAAGTTAGTCTCCTGTCACGCCACATACTAAGAATTGGAGAAAAATAAAAAAGAGTAAAAAAGGAAAGTTGACACCCTCTCTGGCCTGTGCAAACACTGGATGTATGTGACTACAGACAAACATGCAGGCAAAATACTTATTAAATAATTATTAAAAGGAGAGATTCACCACTTCTAACAATTATATACATATATATAATTGTTATTACATATATGATTGTATATATATATGTGTGTATATATACATGTATGACATATATATATATGTATATATATATATAGGAATATATCAGTCATCCTTTGTACCTATCGATCACTTTGGCACAGTTGTAACCAAAATACTTGAGAAAACAACTTTAAGAAAGAAAGTCATACTTGGACCAACAATTTCCAAGAATTTACAGTCTTTAACTCCATTGTTTCTGAGCTAATTCTAAGTTAGAATGTAAGTAGTTGCAAGAGCATAGGTTAGAGAAGGCTGCACCTCATAACGGACAGGAAGCAGAAAGCTAGAAGGACACCAGGGACCAGGTACAACTTTAAAGGAACACACTGAATGATCTTTCTCTTCCATATAGAGCCTATGACCTCTTTAGGTTTCAATAACTTTCAACATAGTACTGCTGTGTTTGTGTAATCTAGAGAGGGTGTCAGATTTCCTGGGATTGGAATTGCAAACAAAAGCAACCAGCCATGTGAATGCTAGGAATGGAAATCTGGTCCTTGGAAAAGCAGCTAGTGCTCTTAATTGCTGAGCCATCTCTTCTTCTTCCCACCACTGACATTATTTTAAACCCCTCTTCCACTGAGGCCAGTGGATTATCACCTAACAAGAAAGACAATGGAGCTTACTGTTGATAAACTTGCAAACTAAGAGAACACCACAAAACAACTAAGAATAATGTAAATGAAGCCACCATAGCTCTGAAAAGGTCTCAGAATTATGAAAAATCCTGGCCAATACTCAATAGCAGGCTTTCCAAATCCAGCAGCAGTAACAACAAACAACAGGGCTTAAAGCTATGCCTAGGCAGGAGAGATGGTTCAGCATAGAGATAGGGGTACCACTAAGCCTAATCACTTATGACTTTGATAATTCTATAGACTTTTTAAATAAAAAATTAAAAATGGAACATTTATGACATTGAATCTTTACATTCTTGAATTTGTTTGCTAACTTGACTCCATTAGTAAATATATCAGAGAGATTGGGGTGACTGGAGGAATGGAGGGACAGGAGACTACAGTTGGGCTGTCACATATGAAAGAAGAACAAAAAAAAGTTAAACAAGTTTAACACTTCAATTATTACATTTGACTAGCGTGCTATGTATTATGTCATCTAGTCAATCTAACATGAATGCCTTGGAAAAATAATCCAGAAGAAAATATGTGTATTCGATCCATGGTCTACAATAAATAGACCTACATGGTCTACTTACAACAATGTCATTTAACATAGCAATTGAAGTTATTTATATTAAAATGTGAAAGGGTATGGCATAATTTTAATTGTCAGATTCTACTTGATTAACTAAACCCTCAAATATCATTTTCATAGGAAATGACAACACATACCTTAGCAATCTGAACACACCAGTTCAACAGCAGCTGTGATCCGATGTTATCCTTGTGTTCATGAACATAGTCCAGCAGGCAGCCATGTGGCATCAGCTGAGTAACTAACTGGATAGTAGGGCTGAGACACACTCCCAATAAGCGAACTAGGTGTGGATGGTCCATACTTGCCATGATCAGAGCCTCCTATAACAGCAACAACAGAAAAAAAAATCAGAAACAAAAAGAAAAAGAGAATATGACTTCAACTCAGCATTCCTTAATATTTTAAATAAATTGGAGGTAAGGTGTATAATGGATTTTACAATGTACTCATTGAGTCAGACATAGTGCTTATAGCTTTTATGCCAGCATTCAGGAAACAGCGGTCAGTGAAGCTCTGTATATTTGAGGCCAGCCTATTTTATGCACTGAGTTAGAGGCCAGTCTTGGCTGTGGAATAAGACCCAGCTTCAAAAGAAGCATCAGACTCAATTAACAATGTAAATATATTTGTTAAATTATTTCTGGCTTAGACTGATATAATTAAATGAAGCTAAGGAAGAAATGGTCTATACTACAAAGTAAGTTCAGTGACATAATAAAAACTTAATAAATAAAAACCTGTTTCATCTTTCATAGCATGAACAATATAATATTTTGGCTGCCAATTATATTAAAATAAGCACCAGTGTATTAGAAACTTTTAAATTTTAATGATATTTCTAGAGAATAAGAACTATGCAAATATGGTTTTTCTCAAGAAGAATAACGTGACTCTAACTTACCCATTATTCATGTGAAGTTAGCACATGTAAGTGACATATGTAAATTGTAAAACTGTAAATAAATAACTATAACCAAGTCCAATGCTGGCTTGTAAGCAAAAATGAAGATTTTAAAAGACTTTTTACTCAAATAATTTTAAATTAAAAAGATTAAATTGGTGTCCTCTTTATAGATATCTATATAGTTTGGAAGCTAAGTGAAATTATAAGATTTTATCTGGACAAATTTCTTCATTTAGTGAAATCAAAGCCAAATCACAATGTTTTTATCATATTGATATTCAACTAAAGGAGGTAAAAATGTAGCCATATGGTATACTTAGTACATCTTATATTTGTCTCTAATTTAAAGTAGTTACAAATATCAATACTACAATATGAAATACATTAACATAAAGATATTCTTATACTTTAATGTTTGACATGTGCCTTTATGAAGCAAAGTAAATAAAACAATATTCTACTTTAATGAAAGTTATAATAAACATTTGTTTTTACAAACCTACATGATATCAGCAACATAATATCCTTACTAATAATATTTAATGTTAATTATAAATAATCAAATAAACAATTAGGATACAATATTATACACATGTTATAATACACTGGGAAGAAAATAGCCTGAAATCATCAAAATTTCAGTATTATGTCAGGCAAATATTCCTCAAAAAAGCATTCAGGAGGCAGAGACAGGTAGGTCTCTGAGTTTGAGTCTAGCCTGATTTACATAACAAATTCTAGGATCGCAAGACTACACAGAAAAATCCTGTCTCAAACAAGCAAACAAACAAATAAATACATCACTGTCATGAAAAATATGAAGAACATGTGGGAAGTTCAAGCTAAAACTCTTACAGAAATAGGTCAAGGCTGGATATTTGGCACATTCTTTTATGATAGTACTTGTACATTAAAATAGTATTTTCATATACTATATTCTGATCAATTTCCTCTCTCTCATCTCCTCCAATGCCCTCTCCACCCCCTACCCACTCAACTCTACAGTTTCTTTCAGCCTTACTTCAGACAATTAAAGAAATAACAGAATAAAACAAATGATTAAAAAAAAAGCATGAGAAGTGCACAAACACACACAGCCACTTACACAACATATAATACAAACTACAAACCCTAATATATAAGCAAAAGACCAATGAGATTTTTTTTTTTAAAAAAAAAAGCTCCTAAACAAAGCATCATTGAGACAAAAATATCTCCAAAATTACAACAAGTTGTGTGTGTGTTTGTTATCTACTACTGGGTATAAGGCTTGCTTTTAAGTATGATTTGTATGCCCAGTGAAATTCCATTAAGATACCTAACTTTTCCTTTGTGAGCAGATGACACTTGGAAATAGATTCTGTGTTAGGGACAGAGGTTCATGACATTGTCCCTTCTTAGCCCTGCGACTTCATTTGCCCTGTTTATGCTGCCATGGCCTCTGTAGTTTCATAAGTGTGTCAATCCTTTTGAGACTGAAAGGCACGCTTTTGTTTGTGCTTTGACTCATTCAAAAACATGGTTGAAAAACATGTATTATATAAAATACTGTCAGGATAACCAGGTATGTAACATATGGGCTATGAATTACATATTATTCTCAGCTTAAATAATTCAGAACAGCTTTAGTATTGTGTAATCTACAAGAGTATTTCTTGATTATTCTTTGTAATGGCTTACAGGGGTAGAGAAAGAGCAAGAAAATGTGCATGTGTCTGTGCTTGTAAGTGTGTAATACATACAAGTACACACATGAAGGACGCATATACATGGCAAATTAATGCTATATTTTTGGTATGGAATAAGAGAATGTTTACAATATTATCCTTCAATACTTTGTGCCTCTAAAAATTTTCAAACCACAGAGTTAAACATAAAAAGCTGTGTTGCATTTTTGTTTATGATGGCATGATAGAATGAATACATAAGACCTAATTTTACAGAAGGAAACTGAGATACAGCATCAGCAAATGCTTAGGTAGCACGCACAAATGGAGATCTCATTTAGAGAGGAGTTGATTTCAGAACAACTGTTTCAAGGCTCAATTAAGCACACTGAGGTGTTAGATCTTATACCCTCTATTGTGGTGAAATAGAAAGGACTGAATTTGTAACTATCAGGACAACAGACAGAGAAACATTCAGAGAGGCAGATGAAGTGATAGAAACATGGATCATTCTGTTTCAAACAATCGCTTAGTTTAAAGCCTCTGTGGCAGCTGCTGAGGTCACTGATTTCCACTTGTCCTCTACGAGGAGCAAGGCCATCTACTAATTCCTCCCTATCTCCCCCAAGAAACTGGTAAGTCATAGAAAAATTCATGTGGCTCTGTATGTATCTACCAAGGTTGAAAAACTTCAGTTTCATTTATTCAGTCTCTCAGCAAATAACTGCATTAAAGCCTTATAGTTATAAAGATTTTGTAAATATGAACATAAGGTGAATTTAATAATATATCATGTAGTATCAGCTAGTTATATTCATAGTATAAACTAGAAGGTTTCTTCACCAAATTATAATATGTACATGCGTAAAATATGTACAACACACAAACTGAGCAAGCCATACACTCAGATTAAATATCCTAATTATTTATTAAATTAGATACTTAATTAGATATGAAATGCTGTATAGCTAATTAAGTTACATTTATACTTATCGTATTGTGTTTGTTAATAATGTGGTGGATCCTATTTTTTTCTATGTGATAGTATCACTAGGTTTAGTGTTCCTGAACCCTTAGGTAGAAAATTAAGCCTTGAATTTTGGGGGAACTTCAGGGGAAAAAATGTACCAAGCAGGTATATGAAGTTAATGTAGAAGACAGGAACCTTTGGGATCCTCTGGCACATTTAAATCAACTTAGGTTTCTGTAATTATTTTGAAACCAACAATTGTAACCACTGATCCTAATTTCAACCATGTGAATAATCAAAGTGATAAGACATTTCTTTACCAAACAAACAGGAAACTGAGTCTCTATTCCTTACATTTTAAGGAATTAATTGGCCTAATCAGCAGATCAATTGATTGGTTTTACAAAATACTTTCTGATTAGAAGTGTATCATTATTTCATAGGATGGTTTCATTATATATATATATATATATATATATATATATATATATATATAATTTTTGTATTATATACATATATTTGAATACATATATACATATATGTATATTCATATACATAGTTTATATTATATACACTTATATTTATATTATATTTATATACATATATGTTTATATATATATGTATATATATGTATATATGTGAGATATATATAAAACTTTGTCCTTAAATTTCATCAGGACTTCATTTTGTAAGCATTTGCATTGTTAGAAAGATAAATCCACATATCTTACATTAAGCTATTCAGGAATGAATTGAGTCTAATTTCACATTAGTTCCTGAGGGCCAAGTAAAATCAAACAACAAATTGGCATTCATAGGTAAACTACATCTTTGACACTGTACCTCAGGGAAAGACAAAGGACTCAGCATTCTCTATCTCTTTGTAGTGCTTACTATTAGGCATTTCTTAAGATGGAAGGAAAGGTGTTGCTTAACACAGAAGAAACACTTTGAGATGACATATATAATGTGATTGTTTTCCTTCTATAATTCAAAGACCAGTGCTAATTATACATATATTACATACATTGAAAAAGTTTACATTAGATAATATTTCATGTGAAAACTGAAAGCTCTCTTAAAAAAACTATTAGTACAAGTCTTGGCAAAAAAGCTGGGTTTGTATTAAGGAAAATTGCTCATCACACTACAAAGAGTGTTTGAAACTAAATTGCAGAGGATTTGCATAATTGTTCTCCCCCCCCTTTTTTTTAGAAAGAAAAGTTGAACAAGGCACTAATTGTAGGTTTTATTTTTCATAAAAGGAAATAGCAGATGGCTTTTTGGAGGATAGGGGAATAGATAAAGAAAATGGAATATGTGGATTCACTTAAAGCAATGAATGGGCTGGAGAAGCGGGGAGAAATCCCAGTATTTTAATCAGGCAAAGTTTGTTTCAGTAGAGTAGTCTGTTTTTAAATTAATAATGTTCTCAGGTTCTTATGGGACCTATAGAAGCAATTTTGAATCTTAGCTGATGTCACTGGAAAATGCCACCAAAGGGCAGTGGGATAAATATAACCTGACAGGTACATAACCTAATTTTTTAAGAAATTAGAAGTTATTCTGTCTTTGTTTTTCCTTTGGCCTTGTAATTTTTTTTCTTGTAGGTGTAGTAAAGAGTTTTCCCATTGGAAATGAGGGAGACTCTAAGAGGTGCACAATGGGAAATTCTAAAACTGGGATATTTTTCTTGATAATGAGATCTGCTTTGAATAAGAACTTTTTTTTTTTTAAAAAACCACCAAGGGACTCTAAGCCACACAGTCACACACATAC